ACTTTCCTACTTTCAAATTATGGACACGTATAGTCTCAAAGAAAACACGTGATTCAAACAACTTCGGGTAATACGTAAAAAAGCCTTGGGCTACTTAGGATTACACTTTTTTTTCCTTTTTTTTGTTTGAGTCAGAGTCTCACACTGTTGCCCAGGCTTGAGTGCAATGGCGAGATCTTGGCTCACTGCAACCTCCGCCTACCAGGTTCAAGCAGTTCTTGTGCCTCAGTCTCCCAAGCAGTTGGGATTACAGGCGTGTGCCACCATGTCCGGCTAATTTTTGGGGTTTTTTGGGTTTTTTTGAGATGGAGTCTCACTCTGTCACCTAGACTGGAGTGCAGTGGCGCAATCTCGGCTCACTGTAACCTCCGCCTCCCGGGTTCAAGGGATTCTCATCCCTCAGCTTCCCGAGTAGCCAAGACTACCTGCACACGCCATCACGCCTGGCTAATTTTTTGTGTTTTTTAGTAGAGACAGGGTTTCACCATGTTGGCCAGGCTGGTCTTGAACTCCTGACTTCAGGTGATCCACCCGCCTCAGCCTCCCAAAGTGCTGGGATTACAGGCATGAGCCACCATGCCTGGCAGGATTATACTTTTAAAGACATCTTTGAAAAACTCGTTTCCTGACTGGAGATCAAGGTAGCCCTCTGGACACTCTCCTCTGGGGCTCCCATTAGCTGTGTCCGTCTCACCACCAAGGACTTGGTGGAGGCCAAGGGAGCCCCCACCTAGAGCCCACAGGTCCCCTCCCAGACACTAGCTCACCTCTGTGCAGTATGGGGGCACATTGAGGACAAAAAGAGTCCTCTTCTGAGGCCAGATGGACTTGGTGCCTTGTCGAACGCCGTGTGCTCTCACATAGAGGTAGTGAGAAGCCTGCTGCTTTTCGGAGAACTTGATTGGAATAGCTGGAAAGGAAATGGGAGGGGAGGGATGGCCAGGCTACCCTGAGCTGAGTCCAGCAAGACATTCACACAACTTCCTTTCTCCACATCCCTGTCTAGTCCTATCTGCTCATCAATCCATCCATCCCTTCACCAACCCCCCGACCCTACCCTTTGGCAAAGCCTGTGCGGGCTCTAAGAGTCTGCCCAGGAGGGCCTCCCAAGGTGGTGCAGGGAAAGAGAAGATAAATGGGCAATGATTACAGATGGGGGTGCAATGAAAGGGAAGCTCGAACCCTGCGGCTCTTGGAGTGAACACCAAAATCCTAACCGTGGCTGGAAGCTCCGAGAGACCCTGCCTGCCACTGTGGCCTCTTCTCGTACCATCTTCCCCCACCACCTTGGATTCTCCCCTGTTCCCCTGGGTACACCAGGGCCTCACACACATTGGCCTCTCTACCTGGTGCATCACCCTCTTCCCTCCTGCTAACCTTCAGGTTTAGCTCAAACCTCGCCTCCTCAGGAGAGCCTCAGCGTCACCCCCAGCCCCTCCTGCCAGGTCAGACCCCACTGCCTGTGCCTTCACAGCTTCTCTTAACAGTCTGTAGGCTATACTGATGAGATTCTTTGGTTAATCGCTGCCACACCCATGACTGTAATCTCATAAAGCTAGGAACTGCTTCTATTTTTCTCACACCTCCGTCAGACTACCGGTTGGCATAGAGCTGCGGTCCCGGAACTCAGGAAGCTCAGTTGCAATAACGGAGAAGACAATTACCAAGTAAGCATACAGCAAGCTTGTATCAATTATGAAAGAAACATTACAGGGTCACGGGGTGGCAGAGGTCTTCTTTCCATAGGCTATCAGGGATGGCCTCTTTGAGGAAGCAACATTAAAGCTCAGAACAGAAACGCCACTGTGCAACAAACTGTTACAGCACGTGCAAAAACCCAGAGGGGGAAAAAGCATGTTGCCTCAGATGAACAGAAAGAGCTTTAGGTCAGCACCAGTCAGACCATGTGGCCCACGCAGGTTAAGAAGTCTGCTTTTTGTTTTAGAAGCGACTTGATAAAGCTACTGGAAGGAATGCAGTGGGTGTGGGGCCTATCGTGGGCGTGTAAGACATGCTCTAACTTAAATGGCCTTAAAAAGAACATTGTGGTACGTGGGTGGAGAACAGAAGCAGGGGCAAGAGAAAGAGGGCAACCAAGTAGGAGGGCCCGTAACAGCCCAGTAAGAGCTGCTGGGGGCTGGACTAGAAGCAGAGGCGATGAAAAGGGGATGGGCTCACCTGGACGAGCGAATGTGGACGGAAATGGGTTTGCCCTGGGTGAGAGGTGCACAGTGGTGGGCTCACCCAAGGGAAGCGTGGACCAAGACAGGCTCGCCCCGAGAGAGTGGGCAAGCAGAAGGGCGCCGCGTGGGTCCTCGGGACTCCGAAGCTGGGGCCAGAGGCCGCCGGAGCTCACACCCAACCGTGCGGCCGCTCCTGGGGACCCCCGGCCGCCGCCAACCCCCAAACACCTCCCGGCGATGCCTGGCCGCCCCCGGTCTCGCGTCCCGGAGCCCCTCACCTGCGTAGCCCGGTGGGCTGGGGATACAGTCCTCCGGGTCCCGCGCCGCGCGCTTCCTCCTGCGCGCCACCATCTTGCCGCCTGGGAGCGCAGGGGCCGCCGGGAGTTGTGGTTCGGCGCCGGCGCGATCGCGTTTCCGTGGCGTCTGTCCCGCCCCCTGGCTCCAGGCCCGCCTCTCCGGCCCCGCCCGCCAGGGCCCAACCTTCATCAGCTCAGAGTCAAATCAGCGCGCGGAAGTGGGAGGGAACGTCAGCCTTGACCCCGGCCAGTCACGAGTGCGAACTCAGCTTTCCACTCATGCATTCACACATTGAATAGGCACTGTGAGAGAAATCCAGGATGGCTGCTAGGTTTTCAGCCGAGGCAACTAAGAGGATGGTGTTGCCATTGACTGAGATGGGGAGACTGCAGGAGAGGGGCCAGCTTGGGGAAAATCGAGTGGATCAGTTCTCTGTGGGCCATGGTGAGACGCCCATTAGGTCTCTCAGGGGAGATGTCAGGTGGGCAGTTTCATATGAGACTGAACAGACTGAACATCAGAGGTGTCAGGCCTGGAGCAATACACCTGGGACTGGCCGTGGATAGGTTACTGAAAGTTATGAGAGGGGCCGGGTGCGGTGATTCATGCCTGTAATCCCAGCAATTTGGGAGGCCGAGGGGGGCAGATCACTTGAGGTCAGGAATTACAGACCAGCCTGGCCAACTTGGTGAAACCCCGTCTCTACTACGTACAAAAATGAGCCGGGTGTGGTAGTGCATGCCTATAATTCCAAATACTCGGAAGGTTGAGACAGGAAAATCGCTTGAACCCAGGAGGCGGAGACTGCAGGGAACCAGATCGCCCCACTGCACTCCAGCCTGGGCAACAGAGAGAGACTTCATCAGAAAAGAAAAGAAGAGAAGAGAAGAGAAAAAGGTAGGAGACGGTGTGATCGCCAAGGGAGCAAGTGTAGACAGGGGAGAAAAGAAGTCCAAGGACTCCACTTATCTGGACTCCAAAGGGCCTCTCAGACCATGTACCCACCAGCCCTTGATATATCTACTATTTCTCTTCTCCCAGTGTACAGTTGCTTCTTGGAAATGCTGCCGGCCCTTTTGGGGAAAATTAGGAGACTATTACTGCAAATCTTTGTGGTCTCGAGGGGACCCAGCCTCCCTTTCAGTCAGTGACCTCCGGGTCTGAGGCCTAGCTTAGGCCTGGAAACTGGGTGAGGGGTTGGGATTTTCCATCAGCAGCTGCCATTACTGTCCTGTTTGTTTGTTTTTTCTTTTTGATCTTTCTTTGCTTAGAGCAGTTAAGCAGTGTCAGGGCTGCTGTGGCCCCTGGGAATACCGTGGTCCACTAGCCTTCACCAGAGACTCCTATGCATCCAGGCTCCCTGGCAGCCACTCTGGCCTTGCTCCTGTTCTGACAGTCACATCAACCGAACCTCTGCTCTCTGAAATCCTATCTCCTGCTGACCCTTCCAAGTCCAGCTCCAGTCCTATTTGCTCTCTTATACCCTGGCCTCAGAGGATGGCCATGCCGATTGCCCAGTGATGCCTAGACCCCTCACTAGTGAAAGCAGTATCTGGTGAACCCTCCAGAAATACGGTCAGCTGGCTTCTCAGATCTTGCATAATAAATCTGTACCAGCACATCCCCCTCCCGGAGGCCTCTGGCTCCTTCTCAATGCCCTTCCATGATAGTTCTGTTATCTCCCTCTCATGTATTGCTTCCACACTTCATGGAGCCATCTCGGTGGGATATCAGGACTGGTCACAATATCACATTCTTTTTTTTTTTTTTGAGATGGAGTCTTGCTCTGTCACCAGGCTGGAGTACAGTGGCGCGATCTCAGCTCACAGCAATCTCTGCCTCCTGGGTTCAAGCAATTCTCCTGCATCAGCCTCCTGAGTAGCTGGGATTACAGGTGTGCACCACCATGCCCAGCTAAATTTCTTATTTTTAATAGACACGGAGCTTCACCATATTGGCCAGGATAGTCTCGATCTCTTGACCTTGTGATCTGCCCACCTCGTCATCTCAAAGTGCCGGGATTACAGGCATAAGCCACTGTGCCCGGCCCTTTTTTTTTTTTTGAGATGGAGTCTCACTCTGACACCCAGGCTGGAGTGCAGTGCTGCCATCTCAGCTCACTGCAACCTCCACCTCCCGGGTTAAAGCAATTCTCCTGCCTCAGCCTCCCAAGTAGCTGAAGCGCCACCATGCCCAGCTAATTTTTTGTATTTTTAGTAGAGACGGGGTTTCACCATGTTGGCCAGGCTGGTCTCGGTCTCCTGACCTCAGATGATTCACCCACTTCAGCCTCCCAAAGTGCTGAGATTACAGGCATGAGCCACTGCACCCAGCCTAGAATTCAAGACTCTTGAGCCCATCTACCCTGACGTCCCTGCCCTAGGTGGCAGTGTTCTGCTCCTTCCCTTCTGTGCTCCTCAACTGGAGCACAGGACCGGCAGAGCCATTCATCTGCCCTGATTCAAACGCTGCAGTTCTCATCAGGTCCTAGGCCTTTGTCAGCACAGTGTGACCTGTCTTTAAACACATCTCTGGAAGCCCCTCCTGATTTTCACCTTGGGCCATAAGTTGATCAATGGCTATCCTGAGGCCTGTTGTTTTTTTCCTTCAGCACACTGATGCCACTCAATCAATTCACTCTCCTGTCTTTATAATTACCACTGCCCATGTATTTCGTGGGTTAGGAATTTGGGCAATGCTCTGCTAGGAGATTCCGTTGCTCCCTGTGGCACTGACTGAGGCCATTTGATGGTATTCAGCTGGCATATGGGCTGCACTCAAGGTTCCAAGTCACTTCACTCACACATCCGGCATCTCAGCAGGGATGGCTGGTGATAGAGTTTGAATATTTGTCTCTGCCCAAATCGCATATTAAATTGTAATCCCCAGTGCTAGAGGCGGGGCCTGGTGGGAGGTGTTTGGATCATTGGGGCTTCATGGCTTGATGCTGTTTTTGCGATCGCGAGTTCTTACGAGATCTGCTCGTTTAAAAATGGGTGGCTGCTTCACCCCCGCTTTGTTGCTGTGGCTTTCACCATCTGAAGTTGTTGTAACAGAGCGAGTTATGGAGAAACGCCACACTTTGAGACGAATTCAGGAGTCCTTTATTAGCTGGCGACCGGGAGACGGCTAGTGCTCAAAATTCTCTCGGCCCCGAAGAAGGGGCTAGATTTTCTTTTATTCTTTGGTTTAGAAAGGGGAGGGGGCAGCCTAGCTGTAGCAATCTTATGGAAGTAAAACAGGCAATAAAAGTTCAAAGACAAATAGTTACAGGAAAGGAAACAGTTCTAGGTGCAGGGGCTTAAAATCCATCACAAGGTGATAGACGCTGGGCTTTGGGCGCTACCAACCAGACGCAAACGCAGGGGTTTGGTACCATCAACCAGGCGAATTCTTGGGAACTATGGACACAGCTTGCCACAGCATCTTATCAGTTAACTGCATTCTTTGATGTGCTGGGAGTCAGCTGGCACTAGTTAAGTCCTTGAGGAAGGGGGTGGGTAAGGAGCCCTTAATATCTTGCAAATGAAGGAGCCAAATGGAATCTGTCCGGCTTTCTCAGCTAAGAGAGAGTCAATCAAGTTCATACAAGTTAGGGTATCACATTCCCCACTTGTGTTTTTGGAGAATCAAATCATTGATTCCTCGGTTATAACAAGGGGGTTATATTGGGCTTTAAGATACATAAGCTTAACAGAAGCTATGTGTTGCTTTACAAAGTTAAGAAACCAATTTAATATACAGGGCCCGAAGACTCAACCTAACCGTAGGAGGAGAGCTCCAGTTAACTTAGTGATTAGAGTAGTTAGCCATGGATTCCAGTTAAACACATTTTGGTACCAGGGGGTGTTACTTTCTTGTTCTCTCTGGCGTCTATCTAGATTTTCTCAAACTTTTTGAGGAGTATCTTGTATGACCTTAGATTGGCACAGAAACAACAACGCTTTCTTAGAGCCGCGCATAAACCTCCTTGGGAGAGGAATAGCAGATCTAAACCTCGGCGGTTTTGAAGAACTACTGCAGCCAGAGACTCCACCTGGGTATGCAGTATATTTATGGCTGACTGGAGGTTGCTGCCTTCTAAGTAGTGTTTGCAAATGCACGTCCTGTAGTGAAAGAAGTGAAGAGGAAAGAGCAGGGTGGAGCAGAGGGCATACTAGGCAGAAAGAAACAATAGAGGTAAATAAAAAGAATTAATCTGATGGCTTCACTCGACTTAGGCGCGGTTTTAAGGGGCCTGGCCCAGGCTTAGGGACCTATGTTTCTTGTCGGGCTCTGTTGACCTTTTTGATGCGAATGATGAATCTAAGCCGGAATGCCATCCACTTTCAGAGCCGTCAGTGTGGTGAGGATGACGGTATGAAGCCCTTTCCAGGCAGGGGTGAGTCCTTCTTTTTGGAACTTTTTAACATACACCAGGTCACCTGGCTGGAAAGTGTGGCAGGGCCCCGTCTGGTCAGGAACTGGATGGGGATGAGCTCCCTGGACAAGCGGCTGGATGATGTCCATACCTGTTGGGAGACTGCAGGTACTGTAATAAATTAGCTTGTGAGATTTCTGGTAAATGGGTATCCTTTAGCTTAGGCAAGATAGGCAGAGCCCTCCTATACATGATTTCAAAAAGTGAAAACCTAGCCCTGTAAGGAGTGCGGCTTACTCTAAGAAGGGCTAAAGGAAGGAGCTTTACCTAATTTTCCCCGGTCTCTAGGATTAACTTTGTAAGGGTACCTTTTAGGGTGCGGTTCATGCGTTCTACCTGTCTAGAGCTCTGAGGTCGATAGGCACAATGGAGTTTCCATTGAATTTTAATGCCTTACTGACTGACTGAGCTATAGGCAAGGTGAAGGCCGGTCCATTATCAGATCCTATGGCAGCAGGCAGCCCATGCCGAGGGATGATTTCATTGAGTAAAAGCCTAACTACCGTGATGGCAGTCTCATTTTTGGTGGCAAATGCCTCAGTCTATGAGGAAAAGGTGTCTACTAGTACCAGGAGGTATTTATAGGCTGCCCGGTGCAGTTTTATCTCTGTAAAGTCAATTTCCCACCTTTCTCCTGGTGAGTCTCCCCGGAGGCAGTGGCCTGGGCTGGGTTTAGGACGTTGCTTGACGTTTACCTGCGCACAAGCTGTACACCAGAGAGCTGCTTGGTTAACTAAGTCCTGAAGGTGGGGGATCTCGAAATGGCTTCTTAGAAGCTGAACCA